CTTGATTTAATGGATTGAGGTTTAAGAATAAACTAAAGCTATAATAATAATAATAATAATAATAATTATAATAATTATAATAATTATAATAATAATAATAATAATAATAATAATAATAATAATAATAATAATAATAATACTAGTAATGGTATTGATTATATTGATGATGGTATTAACTCGTTAATTTCAGGCATTTACACAAACGACGGATTTGATTTCATTAATTACAACATCAATACTAATAATAATGTTAATAATGTTAATAATAATAATAACATCAACGACGACAACAATATAATAGATAATAATAATCTCATCAATGACACTAAATCAGATTTGCAAAATCTATATCTATATCTAAATAACTATGTCAATAATGATAATCCTAATAATTATAACTGTATTAATTACAACAACTCTCAAACGAACATTGACAATGGTTCAGAATTCACATTAGAATCATTGATAGATAATAATCCAGATTTTTATAATAAGCAAAGTGATGGATTCACTATTAATCATCAATATCAATATCAAATTAACAATGGAAATAATAACGATGATGCTTCAGTAATGTTTTCACCAACAAGTATAATAAAATTTTTTGATGATAATGCATATTTAAATTTTTATTTTAATCAGCAGGATTTTGGTGTCTTCAATGACCAGTCTACAATATTCAACAATAATAATACTATTGATGGTAATGATAGCAATGCTAATGTTAGTGTTAATAATAATACTGATAATAATAATAATTATAGAGTATTAAGTAATGGACAAAGTCCAGTTATTATCAATAATAAAGATTTCAACGAAGAAAATTATTAATATAGTTAAGCTAGAATGGAGTTAGAATTCCTTTATTATAATTACTATTAATTATATCAAATAGCTGTTAATATTTTTGTAATATTCGTTATCACCATTATCATCATTATTATGATTTATTTGCTATTTATGCTTTTTAATAATAAGTTAATAAAGAGTATGCACTAGAAATGGTTGTTCCAACTAAAGCGAGTGAACCAAAATAGCCAAATCCTCCTCTGTGTCTTTTATCAGGTTCTCCAGTGGAATATCCGACAGCATAAGCAATACGGCCTTTTAATTTTTTTGAAAAAAAAAAAATAATTAAAATAATAGATAATATTATAATATATATATTATTATCATTCATACCAATTATCCAAACACCTCCTGCAACAGCAGATATAATTGGATGTTTTAATCCACCAATAGTAAGCCTAAATAACAATAATATATATATAAATAATAATAAATCGTTTTTTAAACAATATATATTAACATATATTTACGTAAAAAGGAATTGAGGATATTGTTCCAAAGTATTCTGAACAACAAAAAAAATTTCTATTATTAACAAAGAATTTGATTTATTATTATTGATTGATTAATTAAAATTTTTTTTTTATTTACTTGATGTGCTCGTTGAATACAATTGAAAATAAATTTTTTTTTATCCTTCTCAACTTCTTCTTTTGAAGCATACACTAAAAAAAAATCACAATTAGTTGATTGTTAAATTGGATTTTTATCAAAACATTATTTATTATATACACGTACTATATGGATATTCTACACCATATACTTTACGAGCTTTTGTTGTTTTCATTCCAAGATATACAGTAAGAACTATAGACGATAATCCAGTTAAAATGACCTAATTTACATATATAGTTTATCATTATCATTATTATTATAATTATAATTATAATTATAATTATTATTATTTATAAATGTGTTGAATTGCGACTGAGCAAGAAGAAGCTCATCAGTTGTTTGTGCATGTTGAGCATTCTTAATAAGGCGTTTTATTGATTTACTATTGTCATCTTGTAATTCGTATTCATTGGTTGGCAGTTTAATTGTATCTTCTTGTTTCTTTTTGTTTTCTACAGTCTAATAATAATAATTACAATAATGATATTTAACGAATAATATATATAATTGTGAAGGAATATAAATAAATATTTACTAAATTATAGGTATTTATTTCTTCTTTATATTTGCTTATGGCTATGTCTCTCAATTCAAGATATGGCTAAGTAAAGTAAATATAAAATAAATAATGTTTTGTCAAATCAAATAGATATTAATATTCCATTGTTATTATTATTAATATTACCTTTTTTTCTTCTAAGGTCATCTTCTGCCATATTTGTCCAAGAATTTTACATAATTCTTTGGTTTTCTTTTCGGGATATATCTTACTAATTTCTTCCCTGATTTTTCAATAAATAGACATTAATACATACTTATATACAAATCATAAACACACACATATACGTATATATGATGTTTTGCTTATTACCTTTTTGCCTTGACAAATTGTATATATGCATTAGCTGGTCTTTTTGGCGCATTGGGATCTTTAACTCTCTTTATTTTTTTGATAGTTTTGCCACCATCATCTTCATTGCCTTTTTCTCGTGGATTGATTAAATTCTTTCTTTTATTATTATTATTGCTAATACTTTTAATAGTTGGTGAAATTGCAGTACTAGTAGTTGTCCTTGTTGTAGATGTTATAATATCAGTAGAATCAGTAGTGGGAAATGAAGTTGAAGAAGCCGGAGGTGAAGAGGTTGACGATGTTTCCGCTGTTGCTGAAATTTTAGGCGATTTAACAATTACTGGCATAGTAGGTAATACGCGTTCAAAATTGTTCATATTACTACTGATGCTATTATTATTAGAAATTTGAGTTGCCATGTTAGTAATAATAAGTCTATTATTGAATTAAGTTTCTTTTTTTTAAAAAATAAATTATTGATATGATTCTTCCTTATTACGTGACACATTTTTATTATTATTATGCACTTTGACGTGTTTTATCAATGTGAGAACGTTCGTTACACTATTATGTGTAGCATTTCCTTTTTTGGTATGATATTCAAGCCTCCAGGAAATTTTCACACAATTTTAATTACAGACAGAATCCTGGAACAGCTTTTTAATTATAGAAATTTAAAATGACAAAACGTCCCGTTTAGTTGCGAATCTTGTTTCAATAGATGTAATAAAGCTACATTTACATTATGGGCTAAGAATGGAGAGTATAAATGAGATACAACTAAATTGATTTACTGCCTGTTGGAGCTTTTGAAGTATTGTAATTTGTAAATTATGATTATTATCGTCATAATTATCATATATTTGCTTTAATGTTATTAACTCTATTATAATTATATTTAAAAGTATGATAGTTCATTGAAAGATATTATAACAGTTGATTTAAAATGAGCAGACATAAGGTTTTTGAATAATATAATTTAAAATTATTCACAAATTCTATTAAATCATCAAGTATTATATTAATTGGGAGTATCAATATATTTATTTATTTGAATTTTAGAGTGTTTTGTTTTGTTTTATATTTGATTGATTTGATTTGATTTGATTTGAATTCAAAAAAAAAACAGAATTCAATTTTTAATTTGATAATTACCTTGATTTAATGGATTGAGGTTTAAGAATAAACTAAAGCTATAATAATAATAATAAAAATTATTCTAAATATAATGAATTTCTTGATATCAATAATAATGGATTTTTGGAAAAAAATTTTCTAATTGCCCAAACTATCTGCTAAGCTAAAGTTGTGTATATTTTTAAATTTAATTGATAAAGGATATAATTTACAGTCAAACCTTGTTGCAGGGGATGAACGGAACACATAAGAAAATTGTAGTAATTTATGGATCATGTATTTTCAATTATTTAAGGTAGAGTTTGTGTATTATATATGACAAAATGAGTCAACCTTTGAAACAAAGCATGATTTAAAAAATTCAATGCCTTTTAATTGATGAATGACGGTCGATCTATTCCAGATCCCCCTTTACAAAAAGGTGCTGGACAATCACCAATCTCTAATGAAGTGTTCAAACACCTAATCCAGATACCATAGAAATTCTGGTTTTATCCACGTCTCACATTCCATCAGCTTGGAAACAGGTCAATGTTCGTCCCTTACCAAAACCCAAAGAATGGAATTATCAACATACACTTGACCTATTACTACAAAATCATCACAAACCAAACTTTCATCTACCATGTTAACTTGCTCCATCCTAAAAGGAAATAATTTTGCTGGCTTACAAGAAAATCATACCAAGAACCAATCTAAATTATAAATGCAATCCCTGAAAATTTAAAAAAAGAAAGTTGGATTCTCTCACAAGACTGAGCAAGGCTTTTGACCTAATAAATAAGAGAAATCTTCACCAGGTTCAAAGAAGTCTGGAACATACATGATGGCGAGAATCATTTTAATAAAATTTGAAGCTTTCGAAAAAACTACTTAATATTAAGCTTTCAAAACCCGAAATTGAAATCGAATCGGAATTAACCTAATTTGAAATCCTAATTCGAATAAAACTCATTCAATCCTTTTGATTTTGATTATTATTAGACAAACTCCTTGTTCCAAGAACATTTGAAGAATTAGAAGTTGTCAAAGAACCTGTTTCATCCAAAAAATCATCATTTTGATATTTATTTCAATAGGTGGATTTTGGACATCCATCCGCTAAATGTTCTTGCATCAACTATGGACTTCCTTTTTTTCCAGGTAGATTTATACTTGCCAAGATATCTTTATTAAAATGTGCGCAAATGATGTCCGGAGGTCTTCTTGACATAATTTAAAACCAATATATTTTTTTTAATTTAGCATTTCAAATTTCAAATTTATTTTATTTCGAATTTTGGAAACTTTAATATTAATATTAATATTAATTGGTTGAATTCGAAATCATTTTATTTTATTATTAAAAAACAAAAAAATTTTAGAAAATTTGTTCATTATTTACAATGAACTTATCTATATTATCTGGTATTTTATCAAGAACAAATCAACAAACATCGATGATTTGTTCTTCGATATTTACTAAATCTATTCTTTCTAATTTAATTTAATACAATTATTGAAAATTTCAATCAATTTTGCTTACCTATTTGGTTACCATAAACTATTGTTAAGTCTACTAAATTTTTACAATAATGTGCAATTGATTGAAATAGCTTTCCTAAAAGTTCATTATCATCTGGAAAAGTATTAATATTTCCATTGATATTAATAAATCGGCAATGAAATATTTTTCATATATTCTATTTTGATATCAGTAGCAGTTGGTATTAATGATAAAGTCTTTAAATTTTTAAGATTTGGTAATAATATATTATATATATCACGTGCTTCTCTGCTTGAATAACTAATTTATTGATTGTGAATGTGAGAGTATTGCATTTTTGAAATTATCTGATAAAGCTTGATCAATGTCTGAAAAAATGGTAAATTTCTTTATTTGGTTTTGTGCTTTAATTAGTTGAGTTCGACTATCTTCAAACTTTTTGTTGTATTTACTATAATACGTTTTTAATGATTGAATAAATTTGCAAGTACAGCTCACTCTCTCTATAACGGCCCTTTCTATAACGGCCTCTATTCTATAACGCGCTGTGAATCAGAACCCAAAACTTTACTATATAAAAACCTTACTATATAACGGTTTTCTTAATTAAAATTCCTATAGTGTATAACGGCCTGCCTCTGAAAATTCTCTCTTATGTTTTATATGTTGTCTATAACGGCCGACGATCATGATCTGAGGTAATCATTACCAAAATTAAGAAATCCAGTGTGTGTCACTCTCAATTATTAAATATTAATAAGAATTACTCCAAGACCAGAACATTTACTAATCATCGACACATAAAAAACAATTATTAGTTTGAACGAATGAATAAGAATAGGTAACAAAATTTTAACCCATGCAATTGTTGATTGACCAATCAAAGTCGTGAATTTGATAACGTAAAAATAAATAAATGTTGGTTTGATTCATTTTGTCAGCAATCACTTTACCAACAATTGTTTCGTTAACAAATGGTTCGAATTTAAGAAGTTGGAAGCAACTATGCGACAAACCTTTGAAATAGTCTAACAAATTAAATTGTACTACTCGAAAATGTATTTAAAGGGTTGGTTTTCAACTTGGTTGAAGAATAACTCTCTTCCTAACTCTTCTCTTGACCATACCTCTCGATGTAATCAAAATAACCTTAATATAATGAATGTCGACAAAATGATTGTAAACGCAACCAATATTTAAGATATACTATTAAGACAAAACATGAACGATGTATGAAAAAATCAAACAAATATAAAAAACAAAATTTACAACCCAAGAAAATTTTTTTTGCATGTTCTAATAAAATTTCCATTGTTGCTGCTGCATCATCTATTGTTGATTAAATGTACTCAGATCATAATCAACTGCATTTTTGATATTTTTGATATTTTCGATAAATTCATTTTTGTTTAATCTTTTTGTCATACTTTTCTTTTAGTGCGTTGACATTTTTTTTGATTTCGACTTGATGATAGTCCAAGATATCAAACATTTAGATTGGCTCCTTTGTAGACAATGATTGTGATAACCATGTCCACACGTGAGTATATACACTACGATTATTCAAATTAGTATAGATAGTGTGATCACAATATACGTAATTGCAAAAAATGTTTGTAGATGGTTTCCTAGAAATAATAAATCCTCTTTGAAGGTGACGTTTGGTTATTTCGTAAACTAAAGAATGCAATTAACATCATTAGATGAAGTTTTATTAATCAAAGGATACTGATTTCGTGTTTGACATAGTGGTAGTACTTTTACTGAATCTAAATAGAATGCAAGGTCGAACTTAAAAGAGTCAATTTAACTAACTGGTTTGTAAAAAATTACCTCAACATCCTCAATCAGAATCGAAGTGGAGATTTTCACTTTAACCGCTATATAAACCTCCACAAGCATGTCATTCTTCAAGAAGGTGCAAAGGTAATGTTCCTCAACAACAAGTTGATCGATCATGGAATTTGCAGTGGGACAATAATCAAAATGACTGATCCTCAAAATGTTGAAAGTTATCTTTCTGACAACCCGCAACATCACAAAGATGACTGTGCAAAAAGAAACCATTTACTTTAATATCAATGAAAGCCCTGCATCAAGGCAACAGTTTCCTCTTCATAATGCCTTCGCTCTTACCGTGCACAAACCCCAAGAATTGATATTACCTCACAAAACTGTCAACATTGATGAAAATATGTTTGCGTCAAGTATACGTGTAGTTACAACAGAGTGACTTCTTGAGATTTTGGGTTTCGGCTTTTCTTGTATAAAAATTATCAATCCATGATTTGAGAATACACAGGAAAGACGTGAACCAGAGAGGTCTTGGCCAAATTAAAAAGTAGCAAAAGCAATTAATTAATATTTAATTAATATATCGAATTTAAAAATTTCATAAAGCTCACTGCGCGCTCCCTGGTAAAATCTTGTTAATAGTTTCAATCAGTTCATTTGTTGCCATATTGCACAATTGACGTTTTTATTGAAGCAACATCATTATTGTCGTTTATTTTATCTACTCGAAGTAAGTCATCATCATTCATATTATCTATCATATACAAATTCTTCTTCTGAGCTTCGTATTTTCAGTTTGAGCAGGTTTGTAAAATTGAAAATTGCTCTTCGCCTTTACATCCAGCACCCTTTGCATGATGATTTAAGTAAACTTCATCCCAGCATCTATTAAAATTTATTGTTTTAACACAAATACAAACAATTTCCTTAGCATGAATAATATGATAAAAATGATCAAATTTCAAAGTATTTTTACCTAACATAGTAATAATCAACCCAATT